TCCAGTCAAGGGCACATGCCTGTGTTGTGGGCTCGATCCCCAGTGGGGAGTATGCAGGAGGTGGCTGATCAATGATACTCTCTCATCATTAATGTTTCTATCTCTCTCTCCCTCTCCCTTCCTCTCTGAAATCAATAAAAAATATATATATTGGGGGAAAAAAAGAGAAGACTAGATTTTCTGGTCTTAATTAAAAGAAGATTCATATGCCCTAGACCCATGGTCGGCAAACTGCGGCTCGCGAGCCACATGCGGGTCTTTGACCCCTTGAGTGTGGCTCTTCCTAAGCCTTAGGAGTACCCTAATTAAGTTAATGACAATGTACCTACCTATATAGTTTAAGTTTAAAAAATTTGGCTCTCAAAAGAAATTTCAATCCTTGTACTGTTGATATTTGGCTCCTTTGACTAATGAGTTTGCCGACCACTGCCCTAGACACCAGGGATGGAGATAATAGAGATAACATTTTATTGAAAATTCAAAGGATCTGATTGCACTTCTACCCTGGGGCTGCAACCCCCACTGAGAAAACCTTTTTTAGGATAGGAAGGCAGATCAAGGATCATAGATCTATAGTACTTACATATAACCACCTTAGTGGTTCTGCCAAAAGGAAAATATTAAAAGTATAAAATACAGAGCCCAATTTTAGAAGTACAAACAATAGTTCACTGGAGTTTACCAGGCATACCAATTGTGGCAGTAGCAATTCTCAACACTTTTGCCATTATTGAGGTTTTTAATCCAGACCCAGATGGCCTTAACTCATTCTTGTTTTCCTTTGCATTCATTCTATCACCTACACTTGCTGGCTCCTTTTTAGACACCTTACACATTGTGGAGGAAAACCAAAGTATTAAATCTAAACACAGCTTAAGAGTAACCTCTCACTCACATTCCTGCCATCCAGTAATCGGTTAATATATAATAATGATAAATAGGTTGTGTCCACAATACCCTCCTCATTCCTAGCCTCATGTTTGATTTTTGTGGCAAGCAGTCAAAGCCCCCTCATCATATCCTCAGGGAACCAGACCCAGAGGCAGATACTGAGGTACAAGGCAAAGACCAAGCCCAGGCAGGGGTTTCAGCATTGGCCGTCACCAAGGAGCTTACTATTGACTCAGACTCAGCCTGGAAGCTTTTCTATTTACGTAAGAAGAGCCAGTCTTTAGTAAGACTGAGAGAAGCCTGGGGACCCCTCTCTTTATCACCAAGACTCCCCTCCCTCTGTCCACCCTGCAATTCATAACATGGTGGCTCTCATAGGTCAACATCATTTATGGAGTGTGTCATAGTCATCAGTGAGTTGCTCCCCACCAAATGGAGAGAGCCACTGGTTTAAACAGAGATCCTTTGGAAGGTGGTCCCCTCCAATGACATCGATGTGGGGACCTGTTCAACATAGCACAAATGACAGCTTTATTAGTAGTCTTTTAAAACATTAATGAGAGATAAATCTATGCTTCCCTCCATTTTTCTGCCATGAACATATTTGGACTCCTTGGCATTTGGCTCTTTGATATTTAAGGTATGTTATGAGCTACTTTCGAAGCTTTATTCACCCTCACCCTTTTCTCAGTCTCAACTCTACATATTTTCCCAACTTCCTCATTCCACTTGAAACTTTTAAATAGGCTCTCAAAGGGAACTACACCATCTGAGTTAGTAATATAGTCCTTGTTTACTGCCAGCACGGTTTTCATATGCAGCTAGATAATAGTTGGGCAGCAGGCCCAGAGAAATGTATAGGATGATGGAACTGAGGAAGATTGGGGGTTCTGGTGCATTGGACCACGTGAAAGATTATTATGGAGAGGCGGTGAGCAAAAGATATCCCCAAAGCAAATGGAAAAAGTGAATTGTTAATTTCAGGAAAAGCAAAAGATTTACAAGAAAGGAAATGTAATCATATCACACAATTTGGCTCAACAGGAAATAATGTTTTTAAGGACATAATGTAAACTTTAATACAAATTTATCAAAAAAGGTGATAACATTATATTGAGAGATTATAGAGAAGAAAAGTATATGGTAAAAGAATTAAGTATAAGTGCTAAGTCCTTATTAGACATACTAGGAATTCATAAACATCTAACACTGAGAAATCAAGAAAGAGCAATATAAGCATATTTGGTAGAAATATAAATATAATATCAGAATAAACAAATAAATGTTGAAAATGCTGGGGTGTGGTAGACAAGACTGAAGAGTAGAGGAGGTGAAGATAAATTTTTGTTTTTTATTATAAGCCTTTAAATACTATTTGACTCCGATAACTATTTGCATGTAATACTTTGATAAAAATAAATTTTAATTTAAAAAAATATATGTGAAAATTTGAAAGCTTAGGAAGAGATAGTTCACAGAAAGAGAACTTCTTTAAAATAAGAGAAATGCAATTTAAAACTAAAGTGAAGTACTGTTTCTCATCAACCAAACTGGGAAAAAATCCAAGTTTGCGGCCATCCTCTTTTGGCAAGGCTGTGGGGAGTATAAAATGATAGAATCGGGCAATAGCCACTAAAACTGCAGATGCATTTCTCTTTGATTCAGCAAACCCTCTTCTAGAAACACTTGCATGCCTATGAAATGCCATGTGTATAAGGTTATTCATTACAACACTGTTTGTAAAAGCAAAGGATTGAAAACAACCCAAACGCCCGTCAGTAGGTGACTGGCTAAATAAAGTATGGTTCCATCACTTCGTGGAACATATTTATGTTCTCAATGAATAAAGATTTATTTTTTAAAAACCTACATAATTTTACAAGCAGCTTCCAGGCCCTCCTCAGCTCCGAGAGCTGTCAGTGCCTCTCAGACAAAGCAAACTCTCCGCCCTTCCAAAGGCTGAGCATAAAGGGAACTTGGCTCTCAACCCCTTTCAAAATCTTAGAAACAAAGCGAAACAGGCAGTGAGGCAATGTCAGAGTTCACGTCGGTCCAGGTTCAAATCCCTCTTGGCCACTTTGCTCACTGACACACTCGGGCCTTGGTTCCTCATCTGTAAACGAGGATGAAATTCCCTCCCTCCCAGGCTTGTTGTGGGACAGTGTATGGGACACCGGGGGCCTGGCCCACAATGCATGCTCAACAACAAAAGTTGTTATTAATAGTCATGCCAGAAAAAGGAGTCCTGTCTCCAGGATTAATGTGTTCAGGAGAAGAGGACAATCATCTTGGAAATACCAAGATAAGAATCGAGGCACAGCGCTGAAGAAAAGAATAGAAGGAATTTCCCTTCATGACCAGGCAGTTTTGGAAGAGGCTCTTCAACCACAGGCAGAAACATGCACCATGTGGACACCTCCAGCTTCCCTAAGCCGCCTACATAGCAGGATGGGGAGGACTGAGTACACACACACACCCTTGTTTAGGATGCGAATCCCAAGGATCAGAGAAGCCACTGATGTACGAGAGCACACAGCCAGCAGTCCTGTTCCACAGCCGGGAGGAACCGCTAATCGGGTATACATTTTATGATAGCGTTTTCCAGCAATTCAAAAGAGAAAGAGTAATTCTAAAAGTGAGTACTCGGGCCACAGAACTAAGTTAACTTCCATTCACTTCTCAAAGGGGCTGTGATCAATGGGAAAGCAAATGGTCAATGTTGGTGGTGTAAGGAATGTGTTTATCATGTCAACCCATCGTGACAGCTATGCCTACACTTTACCTTTTATACACTTCCTGTGGAATGAAGCCCAAAACTTAGTAGCAGTTTGCACTGCAGTAAAAACAAGTATTTCCAGAATGTGCCCAATCCCTGCTCCAGCAATGTAATGTTGGGTTGCCCTGTCCTTCTCAGTAAAAGGGCGTATCAGCCACCTTCATTGTGCTGCTGCAAAAATTAAATCAGGTAACTGTCCATCTAGTACTTAGCAAGCACCACTTCCCACAAGCCCAGCCCTCCTCTTGCCTTGTCTACATACGGGGTTTAATCAGTCCCACAACAACCTCCTGACCCTGTTCTTTGAATTCCAAAGAAAAATATTCCCATAAGCATCTCAAAAAAAAATTTTTTTTAAAGAAAACACTTTGATGATATGCACAAAGGTAAATAGTTTTTCATTTCCTCAGCCAGAAACAAGAGTTAAGAGCCATCTCATTGAGAAGAATTATAAAGGGTATTTCTTTTTCAAATTCCCCAAATATCTGTTCATCCACATTTCCTTTGGGGACTGGTTCCCACCATGTCTACATTAATCTGGATCCAGCTGTATTCACTGGGTTCCTGACTCTCCCACATTCCGACCCAAGGCATTTGCTCAGGGTAACCACTCAATAATTGGTTCTTAGTGTCACCAAGCAGAATGAGGTGACAAATTTCCACAGAGATACAGTGAGCATCTACTACATGCTGGGCGTCTGTGTCTCAGATTTAATTATCACAACAATCCCATCTTACAGACAAGAAAACAGAAACTTAGAGCACTGAGTGACTTGCATAAAGTCCATGGTCAGGAAGGGGCAGAGTGGCACGGAGCCCAGGCCTCCGAGTTTGCTGTAACTAGGAGCCTCTCTCTTCTAAAGCACCTTTGTAACAGCTTTCTCTTCTCACCCACCCCCTCAGCACAAACAGAAATCCCTAATTTTCAGCAAGTCATTTGAAAACTGCAAAAGAGGGGCCATATCCTTTTCTCTACCTCTATTGGTGAAAAATAAAACATCATGTTTCCAACATACTAGTCAGACCAAAGAGGGGAAAATCCCCATGACTTCAGTAATTTTCCATCCTTTGGAACAAGGACATATCACACAGAAGATTTACCAAAAGATATAAACATTGCTTTTAAGCAATACTAATCTCTTTTAACGTGGCTTAAATTCTAAAATCTAAGGTTGAATAGCTTTCTTTCTTGTATCTTGAATAGACACGCAAGCCTAAATAGATACACAAACCATAAATTCAACAGCCAACTCGTTAGATTGGGCTCTCACATGAATACAGCAATTCCTGACAACTTGCACCCGAATCTGACCCTGGTCTGAGGCGTGCTGACCTGAAATAGTTGCTGGCCGCAGCAAGCACCACGCGGTGGCAGGAGAATTCCTGAATGTCCACACACAGGATGACATCTGTCAGAGCATTTTCCACTCGGAGGGTCTCCAGGCCATTCTGCAGAATTAAGGAGAGTCCCGTGTCGTCAAATTTTGCCTTATCACCATTTAAGATTTCTACCAGGTCGCCCCTTTTCTGGGAGGGCTCATCTTCAGGAGGCGCCAATGGCTCTTCCAAACTTTTCTCTACCATGTCGCCCATAGTCCAGATGCCCCTTTGTCCTGCCATCAACATCCAGACTGGAGAAGCGCCCAAGTTTCAGGCAGGTCACATTGCAGAAGCTGAGCGGATTTCCTGTGTAGGGCCCTGCACTTATCACCAGCTGTCACACACGCATAACAGGAAGTCTCGCACTTTCTCATCCTGTTACTACAAAAGCCGATAATGTTTATTCTTCTTCTTTCTGTGAATATTCACAAGGTTAGATGTTACTTAGAATGGGGTGTGTAGGAAGGGGCTCCGGGAGAGAAGGGGTGGCTTCTTAGAGTCAGCTAGTCGTGTTGTGCAGTTATTTTGGTCCACCTCCCCCCTCATATCCGTAAGCAGGAAGCCTCTGGTTCTGGTGATTACATTTGTGCTCCTGGTGCTTCTGTAACTGAAGCTGTCCATGAGGAGATGGGCAGGGGGCGCTCTACAGTCCTCTCCCACCATCCTCCCAGGAGTCTAAGACCCCACGATGAGCCCCATGGAGTCTCTTGGGAACCTTGGAAAACATGCTTATCTCTGGCATTCTCATTTCTATTAGCACTGCCCATCTTCAGTCTCTGTCTTCCTCCCTGTTCAGGGGAAAACAATGTCAGGGCAAATATTAACATTCCACACCCCCTTTCCAAAATGTCTGTTGTTTCAGAAATGCAGCGTGGAGGAGTGGTCTCCAGAAACTCCATCCCAGGGTCTTCTCTCAATCTGAAGACCAGGGTCTTCAGATTGCCTTGTCTCCAGAAACTCCATCCCAGGGTCTTCTCTCATTGAAGACCAATCTGGGTAAGTCTTCAGATTGCCTTAACAAGTCTCCAATCAGCCTGATCTCACCCAGCATCTGTTGGTCATGCATCTAGTAGTGGATAATGAAGCATTTCCATGACCTCTGCAGGTCTCCATTAAATAGTAGTACTATCTTTTATAATACAACTTCCACTGTATCCTAGGACAGTTTTAGAAGTTAGTGTATTTTTATCTTCGTAACAACCCACTGGGGCTAGATATGACTTTCTTCATTTTACAGCTAAGGAAACTGAAGCTCTGATCAAGTGAGGGGTAGGGCCCCATTTCATTGGGCTCCAAGGCCACTCTTTTTTTAAAAATATATTTTATTGATTTTTTACAGAGAGGAAGGGAGAGGGATAGAGAGTTAGAAACATCGATGAGAGAGAAACCTCGATCAGCTGCCTCCTGCACACCCCCTACTGGGGATGTGACCACAACGAAGGTACATGCCCTTGACCTGAATCGAACCCGGGACCCTTTGGTCCAAAGGCGACGCTCTATCCACTGAGCCAAACCAGTCAGGGCAACCAAGGCCACTCTTTACTCCACCACCATCAGGCTCTCAGAGCTGCAACATCATGTTGACCCGAACTCCTGAGTCTCCCATGGAGAGAACTGCAAGGCCTGCCTGCCATGGCTGCACTATCCTGGTGCCTGGCCAAAGTGGCCTTACTGTCTCACTCCTGCTCTGACTCGCCTTCTAGATGTGGGGAGCACTACCAGGCCTCCTGATCTACAAGGAGTTTGATCCTCTCACTGTCCTGCTCAGTGGTGATTGAGCCCGCTCCAGGAGTTCTGATTGTGCCTCAGCTCTTCTTCTCTCCCATAGATAGTTACTCTTAAAATCAGGATCTTTGTCCCTAGCTGATTTGGCTCAGTGGATAGAGCATTGGCCTGGGGACTGAAGGGTCCCAGGTTCAATTCTGGTCAAGGGCACATGCCCAGGTTGTGGGCTTAATCCCCAATAGGGGGCATGCAGGAGACAGCAAATCAATGATTCTCTTTCATCATTGATGTTTCTATCTCTCCCTCTTCCTTCTTCTCTGAAGTCAATAAAAATATTTTTTAAAAGACACACATCCCCATTAATATATTTTTAAAAAATTAGGGTCTTTAATATTCCCCCAAACTTGCTCTTTATTTAGAGCTCTGACAATCAAGACAATTTGGGCTTCAATAACAGAGTATCCCATCAAAAGTGGGTCTCATGCCCAGCCAACGTGGCTCAATAGTTGAGCATCAACCTATCAACCAGCAGGTCACGGTTTGATTCCAGGTCAGGGCATATGCCCAGGTTGCAGGCTCGATCCTCAGTTTGGGTCATGCAGTAGGCAGCCAATCAATGATTCTCTCTCATCATTGATGTTTCTCTCTTTATTTCCCTCTCCCTTCCTCTCTGAAATTTATCTAATAAAAGACTATCTAATAAAAGAGTAATATGCAAATTAACCGTAACTCCACCACAAAGATGGCGGTGCCCATAGTGGAGGTTCAGGACGTTGGCGGCGTCACCCTGGCAACGTGAGCCTAGCAGAAAGGGATCCCAGGTTGGAGAGGGTGCAGGCTGGGCTGAGAGACACCCCTGCTCCATGCACGAATTTCGTGCACTGGGCCTCTAGTATATATGTGCATGGGGGCGTTGGGGTGGGAGGGGGAGGCGGTTCTTCAGTTTGGCCTGCACCCTCTCCAATCCGGGACCCCTCGGGAGATGTTTGACTGCTGGTTTAAGCTCCATCCCTGCAGGATTGGGCCTAAACCAGCAGTCAGACATCCCTCTCACAATCTGGGACTGCTGGCTCCTAACCACTCACCTGCCTACCTGCCTGATCACCTCTAACCACTCTTCCTGCCTGCCTAATCACCCCTAACTGCTCTCCCCTGCTGGCCTGATCACCCCTAACTGCTCTCCCCTGCTGGTCTGATCGCCCCTAACCACCTCTGCCTCGGCCTCTGCCACCGTGGCTTTGTCTGGAAGGGCATCTGATCTAATTAGCATATTACCCTTTTATTAGTATAGGTATTTTTAAAGTGGGTCTCACATTATAGGAAGCCAGAAGTTTGGAGTCCCAGTTGATCCAGACGCCTAGTAATGCATCAAGGACATGAGATTTTTTTCATCTTTCCATTCTGTTGCCCTCAATGTGATCCACTACTAGATGCATGACCAATAGAGGCTGGATGAGATCAGTACCAAACACCATTTTTCATACAACCAATCCAATCCAATATCAAGAGGTAAAAGAGCAGGCCTCTTCTCCTCCATCACTCTCTTTTTACCAAAGAGAAAATATTTCCTTAAATCCTCATCAGATTTCTAGGCTACTTGCCCACCTCACACCAAAGACCTGGAAGTATAAATGCAATACCATGATTGGCTTGAACCAAACTTGATTTGTCCACTGAGACTAGCCCACCTTCCCTAAGATCGAATAGCTGAATAAAATCAGTATCTGTTAGCACAGAATAGGGGAAAAGGCTGGTGTGTAGTTAACCTCCTGTGCCTGCCAACCTTAACTCTTCCTGCAGGTCTTGGGTAGGAGGAACTCAAATTGTAAACAGCATTAACCATATTCAGCTCCACCCCAATCACCCAAAATAAAGCAAATTTTAAAATAACACTCAATTCTTTATTCATGATGAATCTGTTGCCTTCTTATTTTCCATATACTTTCCAAGCCCAGCCATCTCATACTCTGATACAAACAGATAACTGTTACCTTCCCCACAACCTCCCATTTTCCTAGTAAGCAAGCACACACCTGTGGTATAAGACATTCACAATTATATTTTAGTGCAAAGGTAGAAAACACAATGGGATGAGCATTTATGTCAACCTGGATATGCTTTAAGATTCAGCATGAACTGGTAAATATTCTCTATAGCTACAGGCAAAATAACTGCTCTGTGAAAGCTTTATTTTCCCTGCCAGGCAACAAAAGGCACAAGCCATTGGCAAAAGCTTTATTAATGAGAAAACAATTTAATTATATCTTACTAAGTTAGTTGGCTCTATGATGCTTATAAGCTGTAGATTCTGTCCTCATACAAGTGGATAGCTTCACTCAAGGAAAATCTTAATTCCTAAGGCCACAGATTGCCCCCTCTAACTCCAGTCAACTGTCTTCTCTAACACAAATTATAATGATAGAAACAAGTCTTACGTCAGCCACAGAGGAAGAGGCACTGTTCCCTCATGTTAACTTATTGCTACATTGATCATCTATTGAGCATCAGCTGTGTTCCAGGAACTATGAGAGTCACTTTAGGAACACTAATGCCCTTACTCTTCCCATTAATCCAGTGCAATTGAGTGCTATGATCTCCATTTCAGAGACAGGAAAGCAGATCGAATCACATAATTGTAGCACAAAATATCTGTGTCACATCCATATCCCCTTAGCCCACCCTGGAATTCAAACCCATATGCTCCAGAAGCAACACTCTGCCTGAGAGCGTTCTCTGGCTACAAGGAAATGTCAGTTCACCAGAAGTGCTGAAGAGTTAATGCCCCCAAAATGACCTTCAACTGCGGGCTAGGAGCTGGTAGATAAATAGGCTAGCTTCCTTGTCTGTAGGTGGGACAATGAAGTGTGTCCTACACTGTCTGTCAGAGGACTCCCAGGATGCTGAGCTCCAGTTGCCCACAGTAGTGACCCACTCATCCTCTCAGGGCTTCCCAACCTTTCCATCTCACTTCCCCACCCCATCACTGTGCTTCCCAAATAAACTACTTGCATCCAATCCTTGTCTTAAGGCCTGCTTGGGGGAGGAGGGGGGAGGATGCAAATTAAGGCACATCGTTATTCAGTGGCATAATCAAGACTTGAACTCAGATCTGGCTAATTCTAAAACCCATGCTTTTCAGACGCCAACAGAATCCCAGTCCCAAGGCAACTGTGACTTTGATCCATCACAGTCAAGGGATTATCTCTTTCCACCAGCCTAGCAATGTCCAGCCAGCTCTGGCTACTGCTCTTTGCTGAACACCGTGATGCTCAAGGAACTAACTCATCACTGACATAAGGACTTCACAAAGCCAGCTAGACCATTGCCTGCCTTTCTAGTCACAATTTCAATGGCTCCAAAGCATCACAAGCTGCGCCTGCAGTGCCCCTGGGCCTCTGCCTGCCACATTTGCCAGGGCACTCTGCCCTAAGCACCACCATTGCCTCTCTCCCAGCGAAGCAGAGGAACCCCTTTTCCTTTTCTGATGTTAGTAGAAAGGTCAAAGGGGCTCATCTTGATAGCCTTTATTTTTTTGCTTCTCAGAATCTTTGAGTTGCTGCTC